CCACGTCACTTGATCATGGTTCAAAATTACGTGGTCCGTCGCCAAAAAACCCTCGTGTAGCTAAACAGTGCGACGTTAATAATCAATCAATCGAGACGTTAATATTCACTCACTTAAAAATATCTTGCACGTAATGAGAAGAAATGACGTTCTGAGAAAATTGACATCAAACCTATAATTCACCACAGCTTTATATATATACTATTTTGGTTATTCAAATTATAACTAAATTTAAATTAAAACTAATGTGAATTTTTTTAGTAAATAAACTTGCATATTTTTTTATTAAAATTATTATAACTAAAAACATATATTTTACCAATGCAGTTAAAACATCAAAACCATATCAAAAGCCATGAAATAATCAAAACACAACAAAGTGATTCATTTCTTCAAAATAAAGTTTAAAAAAAAATTTATAAGTATTTTATTTGAAAAACAATCAATTTTTTTAATTAACAACTCTATTTTTAGTATGAATGCAGTGTGTTCCAATTTCTAAAATGTTAAAATTAGCCACATGCATCGATAATCCCTCATTTTCAGTTAATTTTTTACAAGTAGCTTTCAATTCCATTCTCTTAGCCTGTCGCATTTCTTTTGTGGGTAGATTAAAATGTCACTCTGCAGCCTGAATTCTTTTTATATCCACAAGTGTAACAAATTTTGTAAAACCCTGGTCGACCATGCGATTGCAAAATTTTTTCTGCCGTTGTTCATTAAAATGACAATTGCCTTTTTGGAAAATATTGTCACGGGTTAAAAGGTACACCTTAGTTAAGCAAACAATTGATTTATTCTAACGAGGAAGCTCGATACAACACGGGGACTGAGAACATGCCCAACTGGCGACGTACTCGGTTTTTATACACTTACCGAATATTCGAGAAATACCAGTATGCACTCTAAAAAATGATCTAGATTCATCTGAACCAAAAAAAGAAAATAAAATAATGAAAAAAAAAATTCCAATTTTTGGATAAATCAGCGGGGCCGGGATTCGAACCCGGACCGGGAAAAATGGCCCAACCTCACCAACTGGGCCAGACATAGCAAATTATGTGTGCGGCTTGTCCCCAAAAAAGAGGCGCCCCCCTTCATTTTTTAAAAGGGTCATTCGGGAACAGTGATGGCCGGGTGGGTGGTATGGTACGACCGGGTTGCCTTGTCACGAGCGAGCCCTACCACAAAGCCCGCCGTGGGGCGCGTGCACGTTAAATCTGTCGGAACTGAAACGTCCCCCCGTTGGTGTGGTGTGGTAGTTAGAGGGGGTGGCTGGTTTCGCCCACGCCGACCATGGTTAAAAAATTTTTCCGTCGCCGCCCCAGAGTTGGTGCGACGTTAATATTCAATCAATCAATAATTGGGGGGAATGATATCCTGAATTCCTTTATCCTCGGTTTCGATTTGCTCGGGGGGATCGGTACGGTTTCATGCGCAGTAAGGAAAAATTCTCTTATTTTTTCTTTTCGAAAGCGGATCAAAATCTTGTACTTCGAAGTCACGGCTGATAAACGGCGTAGGAAACTGATACGGCCCGAAATACCTTCAAAGAGTTTTCGAAAGAGTTTTCTTCGGGGTATAAACCCATACGAGACTCCGGGGAGCGCGTAAGATACCATTTGGTTTTTGGGAATCCGTCGACGATCTCTGTTTTGACTCTCAGAGTGTGCCTCGGGTATTTTGGTGTTTCTTCGGCTCTGGCTGCTATCTTGGTATTTATTGCATAAAATCGTTGGGAACAGAAGGGACATTTACATGGTTTCCCGTTTCCCGCCCATGAAGCAAATAGAGGGGGAAAAACCTTTGTTTTTTTGTTAGCGGTATTAAAAAAGGTTCAAATTGTTTTAATTTTTCTTTCTGCACCCAATACATAGACAACATGTGGGAGGTTTATTGAAGCGTCCTCAGCCCATTTGTTTGGGGATGATACGCCGTTGAAACGATGATCAATGCAAGTCGACGAGAGGAAACAAGTCTGGATCAAAAAGACGGCTCCACGATCTGTGATAATTCTGAGGAGCTCCATGCCTGGGGAAATTTCTTCAAGAAAGCCTATTTCGTCGATTTCGGCTGTCGGCGGCTTTCGTTATCGCATACCATGTTGAGTAACCCGTGCAGACTATTGCCCATTTTTTTCCCCGAGCAGATTTTGGGAAATCTCCCAAGGAGATAATTCCCATGCGTAAAAGGGGCTATAGCGGGAGGGATGGGACTAAACGTCCAGGGGGCGTTAGGAGGATTTTCCCTTTGACCCCCCACAATGCATGACATACCGCGACATTTCGGTACCCCCAAAAAAAAATTTCTTGCAAATCCTGCCCCAAAGTTTTCCGAAACCGGTGACCTGCGGGGGGGGCGTCTGAAATGTTTAGATGTTTTCCGTAGATGTTTGGGGAAAGACTGGTAACCCAACTTTCCATCTGGATCAAAATTCTTCCTGCATAGGATCCCCTCGATGAATCTGAATTTTCGTTTTGGATAGTTGCTCGAAAATTTTAATTTGCAAGGTTTGGGCTTTCTTCTGTTCCATTGCAAGGTTCATACCGTGTGGTGACTGCTAAAAATTTCTCTGGTGTTGGTTTTTTTTCCACGGTTTCTCAAAAAGGTGGGGTCACTATGCTTCTTTCCGTTTTATATTTAGTCAAAATCTCTTTGAAGTCGGAATCTGGCAAGCCTTCCCGGGATCCAACTCTTGAGCCAGCCAAGGGAAAGATGGTCAGTTACAACGTAAAATGTTTTCCGAATAGACGGCCGGAATTTGTTGGTAGCCATACGATGGCAAGACATTCCCTTTCTGCGGTGGAATAACCCTTTTTTTCAGAATTCTAGAGGCTTGCAATAACCGGGATTATTCTGAATTTGTAAGCACTGCTCCGATCCGTACCCGCCACGTGGATTTCTGTGAAGGTTTTTCGTCTCATCCCCAAAACTGGATCAAGTAAAGGGCTTTCTTAAGACTTTAAATGCTTCCCCTCTTCGGGGCCCCAATGAAACACCCCGCCATTTTTCAGCAACAGCAAGGGTTCCCGGGGGATAACAGAAACCCCTTTAATAAATCTTCAAAGAGAAAAAAGGCCAAAAATTCGTATGTCGTATATTCTTTGGAGGGGAAAATTTTTACTGCTTTACTTTTGTCGGGGTCGGGAGAACGCCATTTCAGTACAAGATGGCCGAATCACCTCTTGGTAACAAAAGACCTACTTTGAATTAAATTTAAGACCAGCTTTTGAAACTTTTTTTAACAAGTCTTTCGCGTATAAGATGGGCTTCAAAGTTTTAAAACTATTTTGTCATCGGAACAAAACACATAGTCCATTTAAAATGGCGAACAAATTGTATCTTCTCTCGAAGGTTGCGGTGCATTAAGGGGCCGACGGCATGACTTTTTAAAAACTATAAGCCTTGGGGTAAATGCCTTTTTCTGATCTCTTCGTCTATTTTATTTCCAAAAAAGAACGGATATCCCGGGAAAAAAACTTGGCACCTTAAACGTCGAGCGTATCGTCACGGGGGGATAAACGTCTTTTTTTATTTCAGCTTGCGAAATCGACGCAAAAACGCCCAAATACCGTTTTTTTTCCCCTTGACACAACGGGTGACCCGGACTTTCAAGGGGTTGGGCGATACCTTCAAACATTTTTTTGAACCCCTTCAGAAATTCCCTTTTATCGGGGGGAAATTTAGGCTCGTTGGTTGATTAGCATGATCCCGAAAACTTTTGGCCTTCATTTTCCGGGGGGTTGCTTTCGGTTTTCGTGAAAAGTCAGAAAATTTTAGGAGTTTCGGATGTTGTTTTCTGTTCGTCCTTAACCGGTGACATCATAAAAACTTATCGTGACTCCGATATTTCTTTTGGGGGATCCCAAAACCACCTGATGGTTTAGAAATAAACATAGTGCCCTTCTTTAGCGGTTCGGCTTGGGCCCAGCAAATTTTTCTGGGGTGATTTGGTTTCGGGGTGCGGGGGCTCGAACCCCTTTTCGATATGTGGATACCTTTGCAATATTTTCTCGAAGAGCTAATGTTTTCGCCCCTTTAAAAAACATTTTTCTCCTCGGGTTTGATATCCTGATGCTGTTTTTTATTAAAAAAATCGGTTAAGTGTGTATCCCCGTTGGCAATTTCCCCGGCGTCGGTGATGGGGTTACAGATTTTCTAGAACAAGTTCTTTTTTCACAGTCTATGGCGGAGCCCCTAAAAAAACCCCTCCTAGGAGACATCATGGCCGAGGGGTAAAACAATAAATTCAAAAAAGGGCCCCCGAGTTTATACGGACACTTAAACACATTTTCCTATCGGCCGAACAAATTTCCATCCCCACCCGCATAGCCCTTCGAAAACAAAATTTTTTTAAAAATCGGATACTTATCGGAAACGAAAACGATGCCCCAAAAAACCACTAGAGCACTATCGGCTTTTTTATTTTACGTCTAGGTTAATCATCTTGGTGGCCGACGGAGGAAAAAAAAAAATTTTAAAATTTTTTTAAGTTTATTTTTTTTGGGGGAAAATAAAAAGGGGAATTTTACATGCGCGCGCACACCTCACGGATGCGAAGATGCTTTGTCTGAATATACAAAGTTACAGATCATTGCACATTCGAAATTTCAGAAAAATTTCTCTTCACTTCCCAAGAAGGGGGACACACGGGTTTGAACGGGACTTCTCAATCTGCAGTTACTTTCCGCTGAGCTATACCCCGCGTCGCAACCACTTTTTTCCGTGGGAACGGATAAAAAAAAAGCTTTTTAAAGTATAAAAAGGGAACAAATCATTACCGCCTTAAAACCAAAAAATTTCTTTTCCTTTGAAGAATAGGACCCCCGGGTTTGAACCAGAGACCTCTCGATCTGCCCCGAATGCTCTACCGCCTATACCCCCCGTGTCAGCAACCCGCTTTGCGTTCCTGGGAACGGATAAAAAATTTTTGTCAGAAATATAGAACGGACAGATCAGTCCTCCCTTTAAAATTCAAAAAGAAAAATATTTCTTTTCCCTGAAGGGGCCCCCGGTTTTTGAACCGGGGACCTCTCGATCTACAGTCGAATGTTTTACTACCCCTATCACCCCTTTCAAAAAACCGCTTTCCGTAGGAACAATTCGAAAAGGCTTTGTCTAGAAATATACAGAACGGGGCAGATCATTCCCCCTTCGAAATTCCCAAAAATATTTTTCTCCCCCTGAAGAAGGGGACACCTTGGTTTTAACCGGGAACCTCTCAATTAGCAGTCAAACTCTCTGGGAGCTTTTTTTGATGCCTTTGTTTGAACACTTTTGTTATTAAACCAAACATACCCACAGGGAAAATTTTAAAAATTTGTAAAAATAATCTTTTAAAATTTTGTTTCATGTACATAAAACATAAGAGTAAATTTGTTTCCTATTTTAAAAAAAATTCAAGTATATGATTATAGATGTATTTACTACAAAACCCCTGATGAAATAAACACATTTACAACATTGTAAAATTATAAGAGCCTTTTGTATTCGTATATTTATTTTTGAAGTTTTCCCTTTTTTGGGCGTAAAAAAAGGGGTAAATTTTACCTTCGCCCGGACCGGCCACCGTTGTCTAATATTTTAACATACTTTTTTTAGGGACATATTTGGGGATCATAATAACTATTGTATAAACCATATCTGTTGGGACGCATCCCCTTGCATTCTCCCCCCCTAAATTTTATAAAAACCCACCCGAGCCTCACAGTCCATTAGGGCCTGACTCTTTGATCCCCCTATCCGCTCTTCCCTTTTATAGTTCATGCTCACAAAGGGTAGTTCTTCCATAATTTTTTAAAATTGTCTTAAACTTTTTTAAAATTCCCAAACTTGGCTCTTGTTCGAGTCCGGGCTTGAGATTCAAAAAGTGTTCCCTCTCGGGCCCATCCAGTCATTTGCTTCATTCCCCTTTGGGCAAGGGAACTTAACCAAAAAAATCATGCCCCATGTTTAAACCTATGTGGACTGGGAAAAAATTTTTACCCCCCCCCCTCCCCAAGGGAAATTTAGCTTAATTTGATTTTGGAGATCCGCCATATTTTCGTATTACCGGGGCTTTACGTGGAATTCCCCTCCTCCCCTTGGGCTTTCCCAGAAAAACTCGAATCCCATGCCACCTTGGTCACCCTACTGGCTGGATTCTTTGTTCTTCCTATGAGAACCCAGATATATTTTTCAGGGCCATAGCCCCATTTCTTACCCATAAAATTTTAAAAATTATTTTAAAGTAAAAATTTTTTTTTAAAACCACAGCTCTGAGGGTTTTCGAGATTCATTAATGAAACCGCACCATAGGTTTTCCCTCGTTGAGCTGTTTCATTTGTTAAAACTCATGGGTGTGGCTTGGGGGGGGTTATCTAAAAATTTGAATCCCCCTGTTTTTCCCAGGGGTTCGATCTTTTTTACGACGTAACGATATTACAGAGATAGAAGGATGAAACTTTGAGATCACCTGCTACTCTGTGTATCGTTGGGATGTATATGACCATTTACGTCACAGTTGTTCCACTTCGGGGGGAATTAATTTCGTTTTCCTTTCCCGAGCTAGCGCCGCCCCATTTGCAACTACAGACTCCGGACCGGTTCTAATGAATTCCTCTTGTGTTTCCTCACAATCAGGCCCAGTTTCAAGTTGCTAGATGTCCTGCTTCTGTTTTATTTAATTGTTTTTAATGTTTTAATTATTTTAAAATGACAATAACCTGGGGATGTCTTAGTCTTATCTTGCGGATGTCTTAGTTTTTTCACAGGAACGATTCTTCCCGCCGAGACATTCAATATGAGATCACATCAAATGTCACAGACGGCTCACTTCATCTCCAGATACAGTCTGATACCCCCCATGTTATTGGTCTTATAGTCCTTGTGTGAGCGGGGGTGTTTAAATTTATTTAAATCGTGATTATTTTGGCTGGTCCAATTGACTGATGGTTAGTATCAATCAACTCTGCTCGTCACCGCCTTTCGCCCTTGGCCCAGCTTGCCCTGCTAAAGATTTTTAGAAAGATTTTAATCTTGTTACGCCAAAGAAGTATAACTTCTTACGTGCGTACATAAGTACACACACTTTTTTTCTGTTAATTTAATATCTCCACCACACTTTTTGCAAGCAGCTAAGTTTTGAATGTTTGTAAACATAATACTTTTATCAAACACTCTATAGCCGTCAAAACCGTCATAATTTTCAATAAAAGATGAATCAACATTATACAACTGAATCTTTTTTCCAGATACACTGTTGTGTAGTGATTCATGCACACTGTGTACAGCTTTGTACCTTGTGTGCATATTACCAGTAAACTTCCTTTTCTTAGGACGTTTACCTGATGGTCTTTTGGCAGATTCAGTCGAATTCTCACATTCAAAAGTTTATAAAAAAAATAAATATTTTTCCTATAAAACATATTTTAGAATACGATACGGTGTGAAAAGCAGAAACGAGCGAGAGAGCATAGAATCGCGAATCACTTTAATAAAACAAGGTAGAAGTTAAAGTTATATAAAGTTAGTAGAAGTTGTAGTTAATATTCAGAACAATAATAATAATATTTGAAGCTTAGATTCAAGCATTTGATAATAATTAGAATGAAAATATGTCATCCATCCGGTATAGTGGTTAGCGACGCTGACTGCTGTGCCGTTGGGCCTAGGTTCGAATCCCGGAGAAGACATGGATGTTTGTAAATGTACAGTGCATTCGCGGCATGAAGGTACTATAAATAGCCGTCAAGCTGCAAATCCTCTCGTGAGGTTGGTGGAAGGGGAAGAGAGGTGGGAGGTACCTGACCATCCCTAGGGTGTTCTCTCTCAAAATTGGGGTGAAATCGAGCTAAATCGTTCTGTCACCATTAAGGTGCTCAAAGCCACGGCTAGCGACAGGCGTCACTCAGCCCTTTGCCATGATGAATTTCGCGGGCCTTGATCTGGCCTTTGCTGATCAGGTGGCACTAGTAACAACAGCAACATGAAAATATTAGAAACAAACGCAGCTGTCACCGAGTAGCCGAAATGTAAACAATATTTAAATCACCTTTTTCGCTCTTTTTATATTCTTAATAACTTCCGTTCTATCAGGAATATCTTCTTGCAGTTTCTTTTAAAACACTCAGAAAGGTTTGCTCTATAAAATGAAATAATAATAAAAAAATCAAATTTCCGGAAATTTTAAAAGTTATGCGACGTCTTAAAAGAATATGGCAATTAGTGTTGCTTCCTTGATTATGGTAGGCGATAGCTCTCAAAGCTCCTATTTCAAACATATCAACTTGCACAAAAACATTTTTTTTTGCTTCTGTAACCAGATTATGCTATTTACATTCGTGTAACAGATCTTGTTTCTCTATGTATTTAGTAAGGATCCTTGTGTACACAGCTTTGATAAAATCCTGCACATCTGATGGAGAAGTGATCATGAACTACATTCCATTCTAGTTTCATTGGATTCCATTCCTCTTCTAAAACGAAAATGAGAAACCCTCCCCTTTTTTTAAAAAAAAAAAAAAAACTAGACACCCGACTCTTGACCTTGTTTATTATAAATAAAAATGTATCTCACAGAATCCAATATACTACTATACAATATAATAAAAACATCAAAATACTAACAAGAAATAAAGCTAATCAGAAACTTTCATGCAACATGGAAATAGCGTGTTTTGAATGAAAACGAAACATTAAATTATGTTTCTTTCTTCTACAAAAAGTTACCTTTTAGACTATTTTCAATAACAATAAAAAAGAAATAGCGAGCCCTTAAGGTGTCTTCGGCTAATGTTAAAGAATAGGACTCAAATTTAGAATATTGTTTCAGATTTAAAAAAGTACTCAAACATTAATATTATATTCTGACTTCACACACTATCCAGTAGAGAATCTCTTATGTTATCATACTATTCAGTTTTATCAGAGTTTTTTTTGGCACATTTATTTTTTCTTTTATAAAATGTGTTTCTCATTTTTTTCCTATACCGTAATGCTAAATGAGCTATCCCTTTACATGTTAAGAGGAAAAACTGATTATTTATGAAGTATTTTGAAATTTTAAAAACACTATACATTATGTGCAAATGTATGAGTTACAATGTCACAAATTTTTATAAAAATTGCGACATTTTTTTCTGTATGAAAATGTGCTCCGAGGTAAGTCCACATTGTCGTATACATGGCGAAAACAGCCTTAAATGAAGATAGAAGGTGTACGTTGACTACTTTTAAAGTGTTGCACAATTTTCTTACGTGTAATTTTACAAATGGGAAAGGATAATTTTGATTTCTAATCTTTGAAAGTGGTACTTGATTCATCACTTAGTATAAACATTAACAGAGCTGTAGTAAATTAAGATATTTTTCCATTTCTGTATTTTTTCTTTTTCCCTGTAATATTATAAAATTATTAAGTAAAATAAGTTTTATAAATATATATACTTGTTTTTGATATTTGCATGGTTACATATCAGATTCTTGTGTTCTAATTTTAGATAATTAAATGCTGAAGTACCTCTGTTAACTACTCTGAAGATGTGTAAAATAAGTAAAATTTAAGTTAACTCTCTAAACATTATATGTTCTCAATATAACTTAATATATAATACTATAGCAATTTGTTGAGAATTCTTTCAGCATATTAAAATTAATAAAGGGTTACTTTCGATCATGCATGTGTACAGAACACTTTAATGTCTGTGCTATATTAACACATGTTTATAAATAAACGTGTGTTTGTAATTTTACTCGTTAAGAGTACAATGTTATGCAGAACTGAATAGTTTTCTATTGGAAACTTCACCTTTATATCTCGGTTACTAAATATAATGCATGGATATGCGACGCTTGGATCACAAATTAAGATTTGTGACGGGTTTTCATCGCGATTTCTACTAATGTTGTGACATAGCCATCTGTCGATAGCTATGTCTTGGGGGTTCCGCGTAAGTTAGAGGTGTGGGATTATCGGAAGGATGAGACATTCTCTATAATTCTTAATATGACCTTTATTAAGAATTTAACTCTTAAATTACTTATATAACGAACAAACTTATATTAAGTGAGAATAAACCAAAGTATGCCGATTTAATT